ATCCAAATTCATTTTTTCCCCCAGGACTGGTCTTCTCTGGTGCCTTGTCTAGCAACGGTGAGTGAAGTGATTGAGCGCGGTAACTACTTTACTTTGGAAGTTGAATAAGTTCTGTTTCGTAAGTGATTGATGAAATCCCTGGATGGATGCAAAACAGTCTCTTAGCTTCCGCCAACTTGCATCATTATGTCACCACTGCGATTTCCAGCTAGTATGGTGTGCTGAAGTTCTCTCTTTTCTGCCACAAGGCTGTGGAACACGACCATTAGCGGGGGGAGATATGAAACGGCTTCAGTTGCTCGACCACTGTTGGCTTCGTAAAATAAGCTGTGTTACCACATCAGTAATTGAATGGGCAGGTGTAGAGTTTTATGGAAGAAAAGGATATCATTTGAGGTTGTGAACTTTCATCGACTGAGGTAGCTGGGACATGTGTTATGCATGCCTATAGACATGCCCATGGTTGCCGTCTGCTCGTCGCACAATATTGGCTTAAGTAATTTTATGCAGGAAGGTTAGAGGTGACCAGACTACGACGTAGCACCAGTTCATGAAGTCATTGACCGTTGGTCTGAGCCCTTTAGAGGAATGTAGGCTTTACGGAACGACGGAAGCCAGTGTTTGGTGGTTGAGTTCAAATGGTTATTGACAACTCAACTGGATCCCCATTAATAGTCGCTTGTGTACTGTCATGCTGGAAGGTTCATCTCAAGTAAGAAGTGACCGGCAAGAGAAACAATGTCTCTGTTATTCCTGCCTATCCTCCTATGGATTGCAGCCCGGATACAACAAAGGATGAGTCTATTCATCAACTGAGTGACTTCAACCAAGTGTGCTTGACAAATGTTTCAGTGCTAGGTGGGGGTGTGAATGCTCAGGTTGGGTGTCTGGTCTCAAGGTTCACGCAGATCGGATAGTGGGGATCGTCTTCTTCAGCTTTGTGGCAGATAATAACCTATTTCTAGCCAGCACTAACTTCTGGCACAGCTATCACCGTTGTGCTACTTGTCGTCATCTCTCTGCAGCTCAAGCCTGAACTCAAATAGATCATATTGCAATCGGCTACCGATGTCGTGGGTGCATACAGGACTGCTGCTTCATATAGAGTACTTGTTTTGACTGTGATCACGCTTTAGTGTATGCTAAACTTGTCTTGCGTGTTGGTTGTCATCAAAATCATCATCCTAAACAGGTCGAAGGCAGCAAATTAGTTGTATTTAACATTGCAACTGAATGGCAATCCGAGTTAGATTCAAGGCTAGCTACCGATTCTGCAGAAAGTGCAGACAAGCATTGGCCTGTGTTTCGGGACGCCGTGAAAATGGCGAGTAAAGCCGCCTGCGGTTTGGAAGAACGTCCCTCTAACAAACACTGGGTCTCTGCTAGCTTCCTGCAACTTCTTGGTTCCCATTGAACCATTCCGGCGGATAGTGAATACAACAGTTTGTGTAAGTGTCTTAGGCGGAAGATTGCAAAGTGCTTACGCCAGGACCGTGAGGCTTGGTGGTCAGAAGCATGAGTAGGATGGAAGCAGCAGCTGCATTCGGCAATGGTTGGAATCTGTCCGAGCCCCTAGCAGTAACAAGCCTGGTGTCAGTGATACAATCTGTGAAGTAGGTGGCACGTCGATAAACAGTCTTCAAAGGCGTCTGGAATGCTGGGCGGAGCACTTCGAAAAGCAGTTTAGTTGGCCTGCCATTGTCAAATTCAGTGTGTCGTGTTCCATGGCCAGTTAACACTGACCCACCTGACAAAGCGGGGGTCCATAAGGAACTCGAAGTTCTGGAACACCACAAGGCACCCAGTCCAGACAACTTACTCCTGGTGTCTTTTTAAGGACGGAGGAATGACTAATCAGGGAACTGACTAGGTTGTTTGAGAAGGTATGGGAGATTGAGAGTGTTGTATCACTTTGGAATGAGGCCATCATTATATCCATCTTCAAAAGGATCTCCGTATTGTATGTGACAGTCATCGGGGTATTAGTCTGTTACCAGCTAGGTAGGAAATATTGGCTGCTATCATGCTTTGCAAAACGTGTGAGTAAGTGATTCGCACGAAGTAGGCCGGGTTTCGTTCAGGTCGTCGGATTGGTCATGTGTTTATCTTCCGTCAGATACTTGAACGTCGCCACACGTATTGCAGGCCAACCATCGTTGTGTTTTTTGACATTAGGGCTGCCTTTGATTCGTTGAATTGCCTGCTAAAGAGGGCGTACCTGAGAAATTTATTAATATCTTGAAAGCCCTGCATTATGTAACACCTGAGGTAGATTGAGGGAAGAGCGGCTATTCGACCTTGAATATGCGGATGATATCATCTTACCGGGAGATTACACAGGCTACTCAAATCTCACTTAATCAGTTAGGGATTAGTGTCCGTAAGTATGGTGTGTTCTCTGCACCACTGAAGTGCAAAGTACTTAGGCAAGATTTGCAGAAGCCTGTATCTGTGCTCACCCTCGATGATGAGCCTTTGGAAGTAGTCGGAAAGTTCGTGCATCTGGGTAGTTGTGTGAGTGCTGGTGGAGGTATGATGATATCTCTAACCGTATATCGAGAGCCATAGTGGCATATGCCAATCTGAGTCGCCTTTGACGCCGTTGCAACGTAAGTCTGACCGTAAAAGGTCAGTTGTTCAACGCTTCAGTTCGAAGCGTTCTGCTCAACACTTTGAAACCTGGTTACTCTAAGCTAAGGATGCGTGGTGAATCTGTGTTCCATCATCGTTGTCTCCGCAGAACTGCTCGTATCTGGTGGCAACACCATATGAGCAATTCTGAAATACGACGTGTGTTTGGGCATGATGGAGATCATCATTCAATAAGTGAAGTCATTTGGAAACGCCAGTATCGGCGAATTGGAGATGTGTTACTCGTGTCGCCCCAACGGCTTCCATATCGTTCATTGTTTGGTAGCCCGTGGACTGGATGGAAGAAGCGTAGGGGTAGCCACTGTATAACGGCTCTGTGGAATGAGGGATAGTTATATCGGGTTAGCATATGTTGGTGCATCAACACTCCCTATGTGGGGTCCGAGAAATCACGCAACTCAGTGCTTTGAGACGTTATCAAACATGGTTCAAAATTGAAACCAGTGGTGGTCATGCTGTAGCTTTTTCCTATCTTCTGCTGCTGAAAAGTAACGAAGGTTTTATTTTGGATGTATCTTACTGGATTGCCCTTCTAATCATTCCATTCTTATTGTGTTTTTCTTTCATCCACTTATCTTCGTTTTATGTCTTCAAAATATTATTTTGCGTGGAGCATTTCTTGGTGCTCTTCTTGTACAAATTTTGTGTTCTAATAATATAATACCAATAATAAGAAGTCAGAAAATATCAGATAACTGTGTCGAGGTAACGAGTGTTCATCCCAGTATAATTTGTTTTTAGATGTTTTGACTAAGACTTCTGGTCTCAGACTTCTTGTGTCCTGCTGACTGCAGCCTAGAATTTTTCCTGCCTGTAAGGCTCATACCAAAAAAAGACGGTACCACTTCTGTATACAAGCGTTGTAGGCTTCTGGATCTTGCTCGCGCCAATATTACTTATGAGTTCACAGCTTTACCTCTTTTCCAATCGGTAAAATTTACACCCTTAAACTACAGATAATGACATCATTTCAAGAAGTGGATCTTTGAACTGTAGGTAAATCGCATGGCAGTAGGAACTGTCTGCAGCCGCGTTCCTCAGGTAATGCTGTTGAGCACTCACCACCCAACTCAACAGGTATCCCACTAAAATTATGTCTGTTAGAAGAAAGAACCTTAACTTGCCAGTTAACCTTGTTGCTTATCCCAGAGGAATACCATTACAAGTCCCTTTCGATCAACTGGACCGGATAAAGCAATCAGATTTAAGGTTATAACTTAGTTGAGGAGCAGTTTTGACGAAGAGTAGTAAACCCATTAGCATTCTTTCCATGTCTCCGTCTGTTGACTAATCGTTGGCACTTTGCTTTCCTAGCTGTCTACTACAGGTCAAAATAAGAATTCCTGTTTTTGATGAGAGTGAACAACGTCCAGATCGGTCTGAAGAAAAACATTTGACTTCGAGATTTTGACCAGTATCTAGTCCAGGTGATTGATGTTAAACTACCACCATATATATAGTTGGAGGTTATGGACCAGAATGCCACAATTTCGCTCCGATCATGTTTGTCGTAATCTTTTCAACTTCTCGCATAATTGACAGGTTAATAAAATTTCAGTGTTCCGATAAGTTTACACTTGTTTTATAGGCTTATGTTAGCGAATATCTATAACCCATTCATGCTAATATATATATATATATATATATATATATATATATATATATATATATATATATATATATATATATAGCTTTTGTCAGCGGTGGTATACAGATCTGAAACATATTCTTGGGAGATAAACTGGAAATCTTTGTGAAAAACAGTAACTTTTTGAGGATTAAGAACATATTTTAGTTTCAGCAGTTGGTATTTAACTATAGACTTAGGATTAAGTGCGACACGTATCAGGTCACTGATAGTTTTAGCGCCATACCATCCGTCACATAATTTCCCAAGGGTTGATCAGCACTTTTTGAATGTCAAAACCTAATCATTGAAATTACATGTAGCATTAATTTTACTGCAATTAATTCGTAGTGCTTTAACTTGGACTTTATAGGAATTGATGATGCTATTGAGAAAATAGGCAGTTTGTCTAAAGTTTGTTCTATTTCGTTCGGTCTTTAGATTGATCACCAGAGTCAAGTATACTTTGGAAAAGTAATCAAATCAGTGCTGAGTCAGCTGGCGTATTATTTAGACGCATAATAGTTCCCATTTAATTGTTAGTAGTGATGTATTGATCTCAGAATAAATGATAAAATATCGTTTCTGTCCTGAATCCCAGTTTGGCATTTTTTTTATGTTTCAGTAGCGATCGTCGTTTCGTCCACAACTGAAGGGATCTACAGTTCATACGCTTGCTTGTCTTGGCGAATTCTCCGCAAGCTGTAGATATCATTGTCATATGACACGATCAGCTTCATCTGCAACAGTCGCTGGTTATGATTTTCAGTGTTGCAAGGCATGCGAATATTGTCAAGCACTCAGTAAAACTGGGGCTGGAAGTGAAGTTATGCATAACAATGATCCAAACCAAGTGAACGATTTAAATTCTTGTTTGCCCACCGCAAATTCAAATACATCTAACCATACAGAAAACATTGGATATTCGCTTGTACTACCTACTTCATCTTCACAAAATTTTCTGGCTACCTGTGCACCACACTTCCTACCAGACGTTGTCGTTCCAACTACGGAACCATAGGATGTGACCTAAACCCTCTGCGTGTTTCTTCTTGTTTTGAACCCACACACTTACGTCGGTCTTATGGTAATGAGTTGAGTGAAATTGAACAGGATGGTGCTAACCGTAGTTTCGTGAATCAAAGCCCTTTAGGTGCATCCAGTAGAATGCATGTTGAACACCCTTTATGTTGTTGCCATGTCGTGGGGTCCCACTTACCTCTTCATTTACGTCTTTATCGGCGGTTGTACAGTCTCGTTGATCATCCATGTGTCAGTTTATACTATCCGTGCAAATATCATACATGTACACACACTACAATAACTAGTGGCTGTTCTACAGGGGTGTCTACTTTTCGTCATTCCTTATCATTGCGGCATCGGCATACCATCACTCCAGCCTCAATATACCGATTAAGTATCGAATCTCGGACTGCTTCGTGTTCCAAATCTCTGGATACTGAATCTGAATTAGGAGCGACGGATACATCGCCGGCGTCGAACTATTGCAGTATGCACCAACGTATAGCAATCCAATCATGCTTAGAACAGAGTGCAGTCAAACACAAGAGTCAACCTGCAGAGGATTCTCTCATAGGGATTCAGCGTTGTCGCAGGAATTCCGATCCAGAACATTGGCAACAGTTTCGGAATCAACAGTATAATAAATTCTTGACATCAGGTAACATGAATGAAAATCTAGAAGGTGATTTTAGTGAGTCTGGAAGGCTACAAAATAACCCTGGGAATGATGAAGCAGATTATGTGGGCACTCAGATTAGCCGTCCAGTAACAAAAGAAACTGGAGCTTTAGAGTGAGTCTAATTATAAGGTATCTACTGTTTTTTTATTGTTCATCCACTTAGATATAAATTACTTAGTGGTTTTTGAACAGAATTTTATTGAAATAGGAAATATTTTTTAGACCTTGTGGTTAGGCTTATTAAGGATACCAGCAAGAAGAAGACAACAGTCAATGAAACCATCACCGAAAGGGATGGAACGCTGATCACCTCCCAGGACAGGCTGCTAGAACGTTGGGCGAAACACTTAACGATACAGTTCAACTAGTCATCAGCAACGCTTCAGTTGCCCAGCATCTAGCCAGTTTGAACCTAAATGATACGTAGGTGTCAATCCTCCAACCCTCTTCGAAGTCGAGAAAGCTGTATCGAACCTGAAACGATTCAAAGGAACGGAATCTGACAGTTTGTCATCTGAAGTTTTCAAGGATGTAGGCAGGAAATTACTGATTAAAGTGATGGAGGTACTAGGTAGTGTACGGGAGTTAAAGGTATTGTCCTCAGACTGGTGTATTTCACCGACCATCTCAGTCTGTAGTCAGTGGTAGAAATCTTCCTATGACAGTCGTAAAGGAATTAGTTTGACTACTGTTGTGTCAAATATCTTAAGGTTCATAATTATCTGATGCCTAAGTGGAGCTTGATAACAGTAAACACAGTAAACCAGACACTTCTAGGCCTGAACGAGTTTGCATCATCAAAATATCAACGTCATACAGGTTTCGGAATACAGGTATACCTATCGGTGACCGATACTTGCCTTACACAGCGTGTCAGGGCTTATGAAGAGATATCACGTAAATAGACGACAACTAGTGGTATCCGCCAGGGATGCTTACTGTCACCGTTCCTACTTAACTTCTTTATAGACTTACTAATGGATAAAACCCTGGGTGAAGATGGTGACTCGATGAAGGGTCTTCTGGAGGCGTTGAGCGAAAATCTGAGTATGTTTGGCATGCGTCTAGCTGGCACCTATCAAATGTGAGATGATGCTCCAGGACTTGTCTGTTGCAAGTGCTCCCGGTCTAATGATAGAGAGTGAAGTGGTCGAATGTGTCGACCACTTCACTTACTTGGGAATTTGCATCAGCCTGAACCGGATGGTTTCTGGCGAAATCTCAGGTGGGATACAGAGGGCCTATTTGGCATTTGCCAACTTACGTCATCTGTGTCGCCGGCTGACGAGATATCGGACTACCTATGAAAGGACGAGTATACTGTGTTGTACTGCTATGAGACATAGCCATTAAAAGTATAAGACGTGAAACGGTTACTGGGTTTTGTTCACAGGCGTCTTCGTAGTATTGTTCGCGTTTGGTGGAATTACTATATGAGTGATATTGAAGTCAGGTGAAGGGTACTAGTTAAGGCAGGCAAGTCAATTGATGAGGTTGTGAACCTTCATCGGATGAGATGGTTTGGACCTGTACTGCGCATCCGTAGTCACTGCACATTTCAACATGCCATGCTAGCGGAAGTTGGGTTGGTTTGGAAGAGGATTCAGAGTGGACAGATCAAAATATGGCACCAGACCGTGAAGTCTGTGACTGTTGGTCTGAGCCGTGTAGGGAGATGCGGACTGGCTGGCTGTGATTCCCGAGACGACAGGAATCAGTGGTTGAGAATTTTCGGTGAAATAGTTGAAGGTCGGTTATAGTGCGCAGATGTATTTACTTCTTGACGTCTTCTAAAGCTTGAATATTCACAATAAGTTCTATCTTCTAATTGGTAATTGTCTGTCACAACCTTTTCTACTTTGATGTTATTTTTTTACCATCCATTTGTTCTTATTACACTACTGTGAAGTGTAGCAGCTTGATGCGATGCACATGTGTGCAAGGTTTTACGTTGATTTTCTCAGTCAGGGTTATTGATGAAGCAGTTTTTAAGATGCAATCGAAAAAGCATTCAATACTTTAATCTTACTATTCAGCCACAGAAGAAACAAGAAAACTGCAGCATGATCACCGTTTTCGATTCTGAGCCATATCTGATATTTTTTCAAGCCACTGGACGATCTTTCAGACCCCATTCAGCTAGTCGTGAGACATCAGCATGTTAATTCAACATTATCATCCTTCATCTCATAGAGGTACGTTATAGACTGTCTATTTCTTCGACCATTCAAAGGCTTAGTGAGGAGTGAGCAGTGTGGTAGGCGCTGGAACGATGTGCATGACCTGTCTGGGCTACCGAAGTTGGATTGTTGAAATGATTTCATTTACCAGATGACTCTCCATTATGCGCAACTCACATCAGAATCACTTGGTGTTTCCACCTAGGAACTAGTGGTTGGAGACCCTAGGTGATATGGCTCAGAATCGAAGTCAGTGGCGCAGATGTATACACACATTATCCTCATCTTAACAACGCTATACCGAATCTCACCATTTTGTCACTCCTCTTTCTTTTCTTTTCGTACTGTATATTTCTTTTGACTGCATTCACTTATCTTCATCCTTCACCTCACTACCTTTTTACTTGATGTGCTGATATGAGGTGTGGCAACTCGGACCGTTACGCAGTAATGCCTGGTCCTATGTTGATAATGATGGTGTTTCCACTGGATGCTAGCAATCCTACGGAAAAAACGGTGATCAAAGACGCAAAGTTTTCAAACACTCCCTTTTTAGAGAGTTCATGTTTCAAAGCCAGTGAGGAGGATTGTCCACCTTTTACTACTAGGTTAACTTCACGACAGCCCCAACGGTAACCTAGGTCGGTGTGTGCTGTTCTGGCTTTCGATATGTGGCTAGAAATCTCATCAGCCAAATCTCCACTATCTGCGGTACAAATACTCAGATGCACTAAGTCTTCAACGACTTACGATGGTTCACTACCAAGTGAAGGTGCAGACTTACCAATCTTGTGGGAGCATTTCGCATTTCGACGGCATTACACAATTACAACACTCATGGACACTGATCACTTACTGAATAAATATTATTTGAGTATTGGATAGTGGGGCGATATCATCCGCTTACACAGTGTTGAAAAGTCTTTCCCTGAGAATGGATCTACACCACTGCGTATTTTCTCGCGGCCGTCTCGAGTTTGTCATTGATGGGAGGGCTGGAGAGCAGTGGCAAAGCGGAGCAGTTCTGTTTAGTTGCATTACTGGTTTGGAGCAATAAAGAAAAGCTGCTATGCTTTACTGTACCATCTGAGATCTTAAGTATAGTGCCTTCAAGACGTTAACGAAATCCCAGGGACCACTGCTCTCTAACACACTACTCCAGAGTACAGCACTGTCCAACTAATCTAAGGTAGCCCTAAAGTAGAGGAATAAAACCATTGTTTTCATGCAGTTCATGTAACGGTGTTCGAGTTTAGCAGCTGTAGCTCATTGGTATTGACACTTGACTTCTAATCCCGCTCCCCCCACCGAAGTTTGGGAAGCGAGATAGTATCGCTAACCCTTGCATGTGGTTCACCTCCTACAGCACGAATATGCATGTGTTTTGAGTACGTTTCGATTTACTTCTAGCATCTACCGAGGATGAACACGGGACTAGTGCATCCTCATCCTGGATAAAACCCGCTCTGCTCCTGCAAAATCATTTCCTCGCGCGTTCTGCACAATATGCAAAGTCATTTCCATGATTACAGTGTTACGTCAATCCATAAAAAGAGCCTAGGGTATGTTTTCTGGGTTGGGTGCCCTAGGGTGCTTGAAGTTCCTTACAAACCGCTTCGTTATGCGAGTGGGTGTTAACTGACTGCAGCGCAAGACATTATTGAGTGTATTCTGGAGCAGAAGGTCAGGAAAACTTCTTTCAAAGTTCGCCGCCCAATATTGCAGGCATCTACGTAGGTTGTTGATTGGTATTTAATCTACTGCATAGACCATCTCACTAACATCAGGCTTCTTGCTGCTGGTGACCCGGATAAGTTGAGATACTTTCTGGCTGTTACCAGATGAAGTTGGTACTTGTACCTCATTCATACGTTCTAACCGCTTTGCTTCATGACCCATATACAAATTCTTTTTCGTCTGTCTTGAATGGGATTATTGCACATTTTTGTACTAGCTGCCTATCAGAATGCACCGACGAGGGTCAAGAAGTTGTAAGAAACAAACTCAGTTTTTATTAGCTGGGCATTCTTGTAGTCTCAAGCAGATTCACTTGCACATTCATAGGGTCTTATAGATACAGCCAATACTCATCTATACTTCCTAGATGTTTGACAGCTAGTCCTGAGTCTATCGCTTTGGTTACAATACTGAAAACAACCAGTTTGCTTGTCTACCGTTTAGGACAAACGCATTGGTGACAATACAGACGGAAGATGAACTTAACACATACTTAGACGTCATTCGAGGCAAGCTACGCACTCTAAAAGCATTAAAAGTCCTAAATATACCCACGCAATTGCTAGCTGACTACAATGCAAGCTATTTAAATCCAGGTTGAAATAACAGGCAGGATGCTGGGTAGCACAATGGCGATGGCTATCAGGAAAGTTGTTGCTGGCTAGAAACAGGTTATGACCTGCACCCAGCTAAGGAAAACAGTCCTCGTAATCCGTCTTGCAATTTTCGAATCGACATTGGCCACCTACATGACATTTCCCTGGATCTAGACACCTGACCTATCCATTCATATCTCCAGCTGACACTGATATCTATCGAGCGTGCATGGTGAGAAGGCCATTAAATGTATGTTGGAACTCATCCTTTGCTGCAACCGGGATTCATTCATTTGGGGCGTAGGTTGAAATGATCAAGAGATATCGTCTCACCTGCCCGTTACTCTTCACTCCAGTCTAGTGGCATACTGAAAAATGTTGATGAGGATCCACTCGACTAGCGCAGTTTTTATTCCGGCAAAATCGGCTACTGGATGCCTGGATAAGTGCACTATGAATACAGTTTTCGAACTGACAAATAGGTAAGTCATCGGAAGCAATATGTGTAGATCTTATATGCAGGTCTCTGAAATGTAACATCAAAATCAAGGCTTTCCAGAGTCCTAAACCTGTCTGTTTCCCGACTTACATCAAGCTTTAAACTTTAAAGGTGACCAGCTTAATTGGTGTGGGTGGTTTCGGAATAGTTGAATCAGATATCGTACTCAAGGGCATATTTAGGCAGCAACGTTTTAGCGATTCCAGAAAGATACAGAAAGCTCAAGATTTTAGTGGTAAGCAGTTGGGTGAAACAATGAGACCTGTACCTGTAGGGATAAAATTGAAAATGAAAACAAAAAGGCAGCACAGTTCATCAGTAAAAATAGCTACGATATAAAGATGTACAATAATTAAGCAAGCTGATGTTAACACCGTCAACTTTATTTCGTGAAAGAGGATTCGATGACTGCTTAGTAGTCTTTATTGTTAGAGTTAATTAATGAGTAGTAAGTGGGTTGTGATACTGCCTGACCGCCCAGACCGGAGTATGTGTTTGTCTGATCTTTTAACTTAAAGTCTGATCCACAAGGCTGTGGAGCAACTTAAGGTACTGTATCCTCATAGTTCATAAGTCATTCTTTCATTTTGGATAGTGGTGTCCATGTGTATCACTGGTTCAGAATCAGGGTTATAGCGCCAACCGTTTCCTTTCTCTTTCGCTTTTTTGGAGAGACCACCATCACCGGAAGGGAGTGAGTAAGACTTCTGTGACAAAGGGACATTTTGAGTGAGGCACGTCAAGGAATTATGGGGGAAGGCATATAACCCCAATAGCTTTTCGTCAGGTGGTTACATCATCAGTGTCCACCAGTACTGTGCTGCACTTGATTTTATTTTGTTTTCATGCATTTATTCCCTCTGATGAACTTAAACGGCGCAACAAAAGCTAGTTCCAGGGCTTCCTGTCGATTGCTTCCAACCAACTAACGTCCATCGGAGTGCAGCGCGATGGTGAAATCTAAGTAACAAATTTCAACATACATCCTACAGTCTTCAAGGAACATCTAACATCTTAAGACTCTTTCATATAAAATATGTAGAAATTTGTTACAGTAATTATTCCTTCAGTTATTTAGGTTTTACTTTTTTGTCTGTTTTCCAAAGTATTTGTTAGGAAAATGAGATTGAACGAAGAAAGTCAACTGTATTGATTGTGTACTCGAAGTAAAGAATCCTGTATATTATAATTGTGCATTTCTAATATTATTTTCTTGTCTAAAAAATAAATTATTTGCGACGTCAACTATTTTGTTAGTCGGTCACACTAAACAGTTTTTGGCAAAAGTAAAAGTGGAACGATTTTAAAATTCATATAGCCCAGATTCAATACAACTCTATAAGAGATATTTCGCAAATTCTTATAATATTGTTAAGATAAAAGGTGGGTTGAGAGAAGTAGCAGTCTAAACTAGTATTTTTTCTCGCCAAACAGCTTACACCTGAGACCGCACCTCTGACGAAGATTATATTTGGTTTGTATCTGGTACCAAGTCAAGTTATTCGGTTATATGATCTTTTGGATCCAATCTGGGAAGTTCTGATGGACTCAACACAACTATCTTCCGATTCGTAGCACCACATTATGAACTAAACTTGTGTATGTTTCTTCCAGCTGATCCCAGGGGTAAGAAACTGTACGGTATGAAAACCACTGAGAAGACATACGTAAGATGTATCGAAGGTACTGAAGCATGTATTTTATGATAATGTCATTCTACGAGAACCTTTTTCTCTAATAGCGTTTAAGTGAAGATCCGGTTAGCTAGTGGATCCTTGGATCTAGTACTGAGTGCATTATCAGAACGTGAAAAAATTGGATGTCAACACCGTATAACCCTTCAGATAAACACATATGAAACATGCTTTACTATATGACAAGAAAAACGTATTCGGAGCATTTTAATGGAATCCTACATAAAAGTCTTTGAGGTTACAGCATACTACAATAGCGGGAATCGCTAAGATCTTGGTCATACATATGTGATGCTTATCTGCATCAGGATGTTAAAGACGCCAAACCTAAACAATGTGGTTTCAGGATAAGTGTGCTGGATATCGCACTAGATGATATCTTTGTGAGAGTTGTTGTTGAAAGACTCGAGAGGTACAGACAGACTAGAATTTCAAACAGTGATGAGTACCTGTATGGAATTGTCTTGTGATTTGTATGAGAGCTGAGATATTGTGCAAACGTCAAGATTTAAGTTTGTGGTTGTTTTGGGAGACTATTCTTCAGATTTCTGGCTTGAATTGTATGTCACAAAGCAACAGAATACTAGAATCTGTATTTCTATGGTTACACGTTAATAAAGCAAATCAATGAATTGTCGATTCCTTCTTGGAACCCATGTGAAACATTAGTTTGAAAATAGAAGTATCCAGCTTTTTTAAATGAACCCCCCATATCCACCAATCGTGATAACCGCTTTCTTTCTCCTTTGTGAATGCAAACCTACCAGGTGAATGTTAGCCAGTCAACCTGTCATTGTCAACTTGGGATCTAATTGGAAACAATATTGTTTACTTATATATCTTGTTCTAATTTACATGATTGGAATTTTTAAAACTTGGGATCTAACATTAGCGCGTGGCGTTCCAAGTTACCACATATATCAGGACATCAAGGTAGAAGTTACCAATATGAAAAATGGATAAATAAGGAAGGGAGAGTAGTCAAAAGTGACATTCAGTACACTGGTTTAGTATGTTGCTTACTCTACTTTAATAAGCACTTATGACATGGTTTCCCGAAAAAATCTTCACAAATACAGGAAAAGTAATAATATTTTCTGTCTTATTGTGTATAGGAAAAAGTTGATGGAAGTGGAGAAACTAAGAGACTGCATGAACATTAATTTTAAACTGCATGACATCACTTTCTTCTACAATTTCAACCCTCAAGGAGTTGATGACGACCATTTTATATTTTTGAAATGCCAACCTTTTATTTCTGTTTTACTCAGCCGGCACCAGTTACTAGACAGGTTAAATATGTAACTTTTGATAGTCCGAAGCATAATGAAGGTTGATTTTGTTTGTCCTAGACTCTCCATTGCCAGGAACTATTCATCAAATGTCTCATTTCTAGTAGGTGGCAGATAAATTTAGTGGTGCAATTTTCACGTAGTAATATCGCCTTCATTATTACACCCTAGTAACTGTAACTTGTTTTTGTGATTCTGGAGAGGGCGTTTATTGTTGGCATAAAGTTGTCCCACTTTATATAATATACTTTTACTGTTCTGCAGCTAACTCTACTGTATTCCAATTTTAAGAGATGTATGTCTAGTCACTGTTCAGCCATCATATAGTTGACGTACCGATAGTATAATATCATTTGGTATGTCTTTTGGATGTGTCACATGATGAGATTAAAAACGAACTTAGGAATATGTTGGTAAAATATCAAGAATTTTGAGGAATCTATGCAAAACATTTCATAGCAGTGCATCAGTTCAACCTACCACACTTCGCACCAGCACAAAAATGAAAGTGAGTAGAAGTAGAATGAACTGAACGAAAACAGGTATGAAAAAGCAAATTAAGTAAGTGTACTCTAGTGAAATTTTAGAAATTTGGAAGATAATAAAGAGTTCATGCATCTGTTTGGGCGACAGATCTTAAACAATGTCATTATCAATCTGCAACTATTGGTTCCTAATATTTTGAAAACTCTTAGACGGTTTGCGCTTCACTACATCGCTCAAATCAACAATCGACAAATTTTTGCATTGTAAACAAATCATCGTTTCACGAACTTTGACTTTTAATACAATAATATTCCTATTGACGTGTCACATCACAAATAGTATATATTCAAAATGCATTTCCGAACTACCCCAGGTGAAAAATGTTCATAATCTCATCAAATGACTCGCTTTCTTTGCATAATAATTTACGTCTAACCAGATTTTTACACGTTGATACAATTACATCAGAGCGATGCTACTAAAGTAATAATAAATACTGATGCAACTCGATGTACTAGGCTTTTTAGCTACGCTGAATATCTAAGACCTTGTGATGCCATCTAGTTGGACAGATCGAAGTAGTTGTAGCAGAGTTTTAACCCGCCACCCACTATTTGAAAGTCGAACAATTAATCCAGCGAATCAATTCTACTAATGCGATAATCGTCAACACCTGTCATGCCTTTCATCTCCAGTGGAAATGTCCTAGCTGTGTAGATCATTCGCTATTTAGTAAGAAGTTGGGTTTATATCGGAGACTGGGTGCCACAAGTTAGGGGGTTTCAGCGAACCTTTTTTGTGCTTGTTAAGGTTTGATCAGCAATCATTCCTTTGGGATCGATACATCTTTCCAAATGAATTACATAGTAAAGGCATTTAAATTTCTTTCTCTAAACCTGGAGTTAGGTCAACTCATTCCTTTGAGTGGTATCTTGTACTCAAGAAGTATGAGGTGCATATACATCGAAATAAATCAGATGGTTGCTCAATATGTCTGGAAGAAAGTGGATTTCACCAAAATTTCATTTTCGTTTATTGTATTTTCGTATTTTCTATATATTCTGATTCAAACAGGTCTCGACATGGATATACGCTCATGCTTATATGACCAAATTTCAACTTATCCTTTCATAAACAGTTGTCAACTATTGGCTTCAGTTACTTAGTGAACACAGACAAGGTCACAGTAACACTCGTGAACTCATGTTGTCTCTAGTTCATAGTACGGTATTTAAGAAATTTAATGCTTTCTAGGGCTATTTTTCTAACTAGGATGTGGAGTGAATTTTCTATGTTTAACTACAAATAATGTATGACTTCAAGGTATAATGTATGTATATTGGCAGAAAGAGTATTTCTGTACGTACTGGTTAACAAAAGGTGAGTGAAATTTTGGTGCTTTTTCGACTAGATAAATATTTTCCTATATTTATAGTTTGTTCAGTAGTATTATGATATAAACATGGGTTGTATTAGTTACTTTTGTTTAAAATGCAGTGAGAACATATATGAGCTACTAATTCTCCAATTATCATTTATTTTTATTTGTCTTCCTTTAGGTCTGAGTGTAAATTCCATGCAACTGATCTCTCTGTCGGTAAATCTCCTGATTCATTTGTTGACTGGAACAATATTGGTTATGGATGCATGCTGCCAAATAACGCCGTATTCGGTCACTCTGTTACAGGTAAAACAGCACCAACAAGCTTCCCTGATTGTAATGTCTCCAATTCCGTTTTCACAACATTAGCTAATCAGAACTACAGTTTTTGTCAGGCGAAATTTTCACAAAGTATTGATACTTTATCACAATCTGAAAACATAGTTGTTTCAAACGACTCAATTACGCAACAACAGCAACAACGGGTTTGTTTCCGCCCTTCTCTTTTATCATCATCTGAGCATGCAGCTCCAATTATGTATACATCTGATACTTGTTTTTCATTACATTATAATCAACCAAGTGTTCTGAACTCATCAGATATGTCAACATGTAATCCTCCGGAGACAGCTCATAATGATCAAACTGCATTAGCTTATGAACCGTTGGTTTGGTCTAATGATGATGCATCACTCATGGGACCTCCTGACTCTAAGGGGAAGATACATTGTATTCAGTCTGTTAACGAAGCAGATTATCTAGCCAATACTGATCTTACTTGTCATGTTGGTAATAGTAAACCTCAGTTAGTTTCAGATGTATCTGTAAATGAGTTAGCTTCATATATGGAGCATATGGTGCATATTCCAGGTCGAATGTCTGAAATGGCTCAAAGAATGTATCTTTAACGTACTGTCACTTTGTTATAAGGATATACTGTTTCATGTGATGAAATTTTTATCTCATCATTGATGTGGGAGTTCATCAACTATTCGGAAGCCGAATATATTGCTTCAGCAACAATGGGTGACAACTACTCGTTCCATTTTGTTCTTATTGTGATATGTATGCGCTGAACTTATGTATTACTTATAGTTATTTATTTACTATTGTCATTCGAATGAAAGTGTTTCTATTTTCGTTTCTACCTTACTTTTTCAATTCCTTGGTGATAATCTCCCTGTGACATATATATATATATATATATATATATATATATATATATATATATATATAAATTTATACCCATATAAAGTGTACAGAAGATTAGTAGTTTGATCATAATGGTATTAATTAAACTTTATCTCGTAGTCGAATATCAGATTTACTCTTATATGAGTGGGTATGCGCATTTTCTCTGTCACTTTTACTATTTATGTGTAGTAATTTTTATGAAATGTGTGTCATTCATCTCCAATGCAGTAAAGCTTACTTCCAATTTTCTTCACTTCCTGTTAATCTAAAATGCAAAAGTTTCTAGATGCAGACCATGATGTAAATTCTCAAATATTTGCTTTAGTTTTCTCTATGGATGTTGATTTTTACGGAAAAAGTTTTATTATATCCTTCATCGCTTTATTTTCTGTTTCTCGGCTGTTATGAATTAAGAACAACGTGGAAAAGCATTTACTACGTAGTTTGTCTTTGTCCGTATATCCGCATCGGTGTACTCTCTTCCGTACCGCCAGATTTCTTTTCCCTGCTTTTACTATTCTTGGTAATATTTTGTCGCTTTTCTTTAATTTAACTGATTTGTTCTTTTGATGCCTACAACATATTTCAACAATTTCCTGGAAAGATAAACAGTGAAATGCTAGCTAAGTAATGAGTAATATACCTCTCCTGCATATTTCGTCATTTTTAGTTTTGACACATTTCTGACTGGTGACTTCTTTTGTTTGTTTCTTGTCAGCAAACGTTTCCCCTAAATTACGCATCCATATATGCCTGTGCAGTTTTATTTTAGCTCTCTACTGAATTAAACGACTATACATAAAGCTTGTCAGCGTTTAACGCTTGAATTTTTATGAAATGTAAATAGTTGAAACGGGTTAAGGCAGGATGTATCGTGAAGTATCTCGTCTCAACAGACATCCTTGAATGATAGAAGGATTTTTACGTAAAAGCAGATATATGTAGTGTTCATTGATAATCAGGGTCTAAATCTTGTTTAACACCAGGCTTGGAACTAGAAGCCTCCAGGTTACTAACTCAAAGCTGCATTAACTTTATCCTGTCGCTACGCAAGTTTTCCTTCCGACTTCAATCACCAATATGTTATTTACAAACTAGTATACTATCATCGACAAAATGAATAAATCATGAAACATATTTTCAATAGCTGAAATTACTACCATCATTCTCTTGAATAAGTGGATGAATAACACTTGTTTTCACAAACCATCTATGTATAACTATATTTCTATGTATTTCGCAATTGTTTTTACCTTTTTGACAATCATTTATTGATTTTATAAAAACAAACCCTTGTCATAACATCTCGTCCAGAATAAGCGCAGTTAGGGATTTAAGGATGGAAATATTTGTATGATTGCCCATTTTTAAGAACAAAATCGTTGGAAAGGATTTTTGTTGCTGAACTATTCGTTCTATGATTTAATGGGTAAATTAAGTGCCATATGTACATTAGTTATTTAGATTAAAAGTTTGTATTACTAAGTTTAACACCGAAAGCCTTTTGAACTTGATGCATTTTATAAAATGACATGTCCAAGTAGAAATCACCTAAAATGTTCGTTAAATATTGTAACACCACTCTTTCTGAGGTCATGTGGCATCATCTTAGACCGTTGTATGGTCAGTTTCAGAGCTCATGTGTGACCTTTGAGCAGAGGTCAAGAAAAATCTTCGTTTTTGTTGATGCCTTCACATAAACACTTCCCAACCAACTCTTAGTGTAACTATAAAATGAAGCATTCAAATCTAAATAGAGGAAAAAGTGATGAAAAGCATGAATAATCTGTTCAAAATAATTGACGTGGGAAAGTCGGTTTGAAGCGCGATTGATGTTCAGGAAAATTGGCAGGTGTTTCAGCCATAACATAGGTGACTGAAGAGAATGTTATGCAAAAAACTCAGCCGACCTAAAGCTGTCACATGACTTATTGAGATAATGAAGTTGAACCTCCATCTCTTATCGAAGTTAAGGTGAAGATAATACACCAAAGAATTATATCGGTATAAAATTCTGATTATATATAAAGTGTGGGGTTCACCTGTATGCCATATTCCGCGTTGATTCTGCTTGTCTGTTTTGCTCATGCTAATTCGTTTGGTTGTGAATGACAGATTTTTGTAACCCTCATAAACTAGGATGACTAACGATAAGAACCAGTTAGAAGAATCATGTCGAATGCCCACACTGGTAAATTATTCAGTCCATCTAACTGGTTATCCGCGTAATAGGCTAGAGGAGACCGGAGCTTAGGATATCAGATCTTTAGTAGGTGTTTGTATATCTTGCCAATGTCAAATGATGACGAACCGCCGTCAAGGGTTGCATTTCTACAGGCAATCAAAGTTGTACAATCACTGCAGAAAAATACGAAGAAATAATAGAGGACTACCGTGTAGAAGGTTGATGGTCATCGAAAGGGGGTTGAATGGTAAGGGTGGTTGACACTTCCTGACTGCCCACATCGTGGAAGCTTTCTTTTTCTTCTTGAGGTACCTGAAAGCCAATATCGGTTATTGCGTGTTGTATTATGTGACCGCAGCGCTCAAACAACATCTTTTTGAGTCCAGTCACACAATGCATTATGAAGAGAGAACATAATTTTCCGTTTGAAGATACTGTCCATATTCCTTTCTAACCTTTTTTGACCAAGTAGTTAGTGATTTTCCAGTACTATTCATGTATTTCCATATTCCTTATGTTCATTACATTTTACAAACATTAAGATACGATGATGAATGAGTGCTCTTTTTCAGAACCAGTTGATATCCCTTAAAAGACTATTGAAGGTTAGTGTTTGTCATTGACAGAGTCATTGTAGTTAGTTATCCATGCAATGAAACTTAGTCTTCTTCAAAGTAAGTAAATCTTGTGCAAAATAGAAATAACTGTCAATAATCCGATTATATTTTGAGGTGTTCCTTATAATTGGTAAGAAACTAGATAACGAATCGTTGATCAAGTGCTCTACTAGCTGAGCCCTGGCCTACCATGATGTAGTGGTTGGAATCGCATGTCAATGATATAATGTTCTTTGCCGGCATAATCTATTGTTTCTACCATTTTCATTGGATGAAAAATAATGCATAGTTTCGATGAGAGTTTTTCATGGAAGTGGTAAGTGAAATGGGTTCAAGAGCTAGGCTTAAGGCTTCTGAAACCCGGTTATAAATTTTTCTCATAAGCACTTTTGAACGTGAGTGACTGGCTTGAAATTTCAAAACCTAATCTGGAAGATTCAGCGTTACGATTGTATCCGCATAAATTTTAAGAATGTATTTGTTCTCAAAAACGATGAGGAGCTTGTTAACTCTTACTCTGATTCTACGTGTGATCTTTTTGCCGTATTAATGGGTCAATTTCGAAGTGATCTGAACAGTTCCATTATCTTAAGTGAATCAGTCTGTCTACATTGTTAACGGGCTGGACATCAAACAAACGAAATGGCCGTCTCGTGTCTAAATCATCTTTAACCCGTTAGTCAACACTGTCATCTGATATGTTTGGTTTCTAGTCGCTCATGCAGTAACATATCATACAGATTTCCTACCTAACTGCTATTTGCTAACATCCCTTTTATGCCTGCCTGTCCTATCCTTCTGCTTGTCAAAACTGTGCTGTTACTTGTGGTTCCATATGATGATGATTGGCTTGATTTCGAAAGCTTTATCTTAGGTAGTAAGCATGTCTATGGCAATTTTTGTATCATTGGAGTGTATACACACCATTTCTAAGCTGTTTCAATGGTCAACTTATTACTTTTGAACTGAACACTATGTTGGACATTCATAACGTAAGCTGCCGGATGATATCCGTGACGTTGCTATACACTCAAGGTGATATACTGTTTGTGAAGTCGTGAACAAAAATCGTATTCTCAGAAAGCAATTCGTTTAGCAGGGCGTTTTATAAGGTGTTTTTTCGGTTTGTCATTCTGTTACGACTTATTTCTAGACTTTGTTGACATAGTTTAATGCTAATGATCTTATCTTTAGAATAGAAGAATGTGAAGTCTTACGCATCAGGAATCATTCTCTTCTTGACACTTGTCCGTTGTATTCATCTTTTCAGGTTACCATACCTTCCTTCGGGGATTACCGACAAATCTTCTCACCTAGTTGTTAGTTTGGTGATGGTGTGCTGACGTAGATGACGAATGATCTCAAAGCAGACATAATCCAATGTTATATCTCATAATAATGATATTCTGTTCACGCAGTTAACACAAATAAAAGTCATACCGATTCGCAAGATTGAACATACCTTGAGGACTTTTATGCTAGAATACAACAACACAACTTCACTAAGTAACTTTACTGGATTAGTTCATGGATTTTTCATCAAATCAGTTGGACTGAACAGTGTTTGCCAACTAACTGTATTTCTGTCGAGAAATCAATGAAATATTTGAAGCAATGCCTAGCTGGGAGTGAATAGAGATGTCTTTGTTTAATGAATTACGACATTTCTATTCATAATCTACTCGAATACTAGATACATCAAGGATCGACTTGATTTATTTACAACAGTCCTGCTCTATTTTCTTGAAACTAAATGAAAACTGCGACATTACAGAGGTTATTTATCTTATTTATTATCTTCACCTGGTCGACATTTACTGTCTTCTTTTACATAGAGAATTTGAACCGCTACAAAACCAATGGGGGTAACTTTTATACCGTATGTGGATTATGAATATTTTTTGCCTGTTATGTTTCGACAACACTCATGGGTCTGTCATTTACTTCCACTTCGTTCTCAATCAAATTAGTGTTATTTTTTAAGCTAAATCCGACAGTACTCCTGTTATTTTATCCATATATTTCCATATATAGCTTACTTTGATTACGAAATTCAGCATCAGACGGTGTCTTTAAACCAAGTTCGAAAATCAACCCCTTCTTCCGTTCTTCACCTTGTGAATCAAACTTCACATATTCGCAACGGTTACTAATATGGATGTGTTTGAAAATCTTCACTTGCTTTTTTGAATCATTTAAGCAGAATGTAGGCAAAACTCAGAAAGTAGAATTGCTCTGCAGAAAGTTTTTGAAGTATTTTAACTACTTCATGAAAACCAAAACCTCTTGAACTTCTGGAAGAAATGAAATTCAAATACTTTCACTGTTGACTTTCTGGGGATAGTACACGCGTTCTCAGTACTGTCGATTTCAACTACTTTCACTGTGAATAACTCTTGGTATCCAATAGACCGTATCAACGTCTTAATCAGAATTTTATGAGCCCAACCTTTGTTTGCTATGAAACTTCAAGATACTCGTCATGTTGCAGCAAGTTAAACTAAACTTGTCTCACAGTTAAGGGAATTTCGAAACCATAGCACCTTTCCTCATGTGCGTGCAAGAGGTTTTAAAAATCTGTTCAGCTCACTCCATATCGTTAATCTAAGCGTCCATATTTGAGTTTTAAAAATAAAGCCGTCATTAAACTCTATTCTAACTATTAGTCTGTATAATTTTTGACTTAGTCATATATATAATAGTTTCAGGTAAGACGTACTTTTGAATAACTGATGGAAAAAATTCTTAAAATGTACCTTTAATCCAGTCGAAATGTTCCTTGCTTGAGAATTTCATTTCAGATGAGATAGACGATCTTGACGTCACTTAATGTTTTCTAACTAGCCAACGGTAGTAAATGAACAACACTATAGATGGCTTTTCAATCAAAGTCGAAAGACTGTGGGACAAGTTTATAGTCGATGTTAGTGAATGAAGTTATTGTACAAGTCACATTCCGTTCTAGAAAGCATTTATTTTAATTTTTTTCATACTTTCCTTGCAGTTACCTGGATTATGATCTTAGGTTTATGTACAGTTATAAATAACTACATGATTCCGAGAGAAGTAAATTGCTAACATACCCCTTAGCTCAGCATGCATACGAATGTGGTTTATTCAGTGCTATAACTCTTATTAGCTCAGATAAACTTCATATTCTTGCTCCAGGGAAATGTGTCAAACTCTCAGTACTGCTCATTTTCAATGATACTTTCATGAGTTACAAAACGTTTAGAAGCAGGTAAGAGAACGTGATGACATCTAAGAAATGTTCGTTTTGTCTTGTGAAGCTATGGCTCTGGTTTGGAGAGATGACTGCCAACCACCGGCTTGAACCCCTCTCCACCTACCGAGATTGAGGTAGCTAGATAGCATCACTAACCCTCACACAAGAGGCGTATCTCATTGCCTACTACACGAATGTGCACAAGACAACTGGGTGCGTTTCGTTTGACATGTATCTTATAAAGCGAGCTAAAATGACAATGAAGGGCAGAAATGAACATCAAACCATGATAAACTTTAAAAGCGTTATATCATACTTCAGTAGTGCAGTCAGTATCATTTTTAATCAAATTAGTGCACCAAGCGATGATTTTCATTTGTTGTACAAAAACGTTACAACAACATACTTGTGAGGATGAGTCGCTTTGACTGTTAATCTGCAGACTCTTTACCTAATAGTTATTTAAAATGAATCAATGGATGTGATTTTTAGTCATAAAGACGGAAGGATTTATTTGAAAGAGTGATTCAGCTAACGACTTTTACGCATTTGTGCATTCCGAAAGTATCACAGTTGGCGTGTAACTGGTTCAAGTGACTAAGAAAGTCGCACCGTATATAACTATATTGACTATACAAAGAACGAAGGGCATTTAACAACCTTGTGCACATTCGTGCACAAGGGAATGACCGACACCTATTGTATGTGCGCTAGTGATATTATCTGGCTGCCTGAACCTCGGTAGTTGGGGCGGGGTTTGAACCCGTGACCCAGTAGCTGATAGTCACCTCCCTGAACCAGTGGGCCACAGTCCCACGATAAAGGGTTGCCCTCTGGTTACCCAAAACTTTAATCAGTCTCGGAAGTAAGCGTAGACAGAAGGAACTGAAAGAACAGCGATATTAGGTAGAATTAGACTTTCCTATGTGTGCCATTTGATACGCGTACAACAATAATGTGAACCACCTTGGTTATTTCAACATAGTGTTGTACCGTTTAGTTATCCTAATCATCCACCACTAGAAATCCAAGCTTCAAAGTCACAACCTTCTGTCTCATCTTATGATTGGAGCTTGTTAGTTTCCATTTCCACTTCCGTTTCCACTTCCTATCATTCTTGATTGTGGTGGACTGAACTGGATCATGCAAGAAACTGTGAGGAGCAAGGAGATGGGCGTAAGCTGGCTGGATCAATGTCGCACAAACTCGAAGATCTACAGGCAAAAACTAACAAGTTGACTCAAGAGGCAGCGAAGATGGGACTTCAAGTGAATGTAGAGAAGACAGAGGTGATGAAGATATCCAACCAACAACAACGAACATCAATCACCATCAACGGGAGAAATTTAAAGGAAGTAGTCTCTTTCACCTACCTAGGCAGCATTGTTTCAACTACAGGCGGTGATAGAGACGGGCTACTGAAGCTCTCGTGTTCCACTAGGAACCCAAAGGACAAATAATAATGATAATAATAATAATAATAATAATAATAATAATAATCATTCATACAACAATATGCTGCTTAATTGGGCAGAGTGAAAGATGAAATTCCAACGAGTAACTGCAGAATACGGTTAACACAGTTTATTAGACGCTGTATTCTCCGGATCAAACAACTAAGTGTGAGCTATCATGAACAGGAAATCAATTCTCGTAAGATGTTGCTCTGAGGATGAAGAGGCTTTAACTGACAGTGGAAGGTTTGCACACGCACTACAAAGGTCATGAAGACAAGAAAAAAACTACCAGAACAAACACAATTATAAAAACATGCGAAACCATTATCCGTGACACTGTCTGTTGAGAAACAAGGAAATCGAACAGGTTTCCAGTCGATGAATTGAACTAGTCCCGTTTACTTTAGTTTTCTTTATCTTCTGTATTAACTGAGTTTATTGTGCGTGTGTATTAGTTGCCTACTGATACACCAGCGTATTTGAAGTTTATATTTATTGGATTATTTGGATGTGATTGCTTTTCTAGCCATTTAGATATGTACTCCACCACCCTCTACTTCTCCCAATGTATGTGTCGCCTCACACACATGTAAGTGGTATACACGGAGGAGTGTGATATAATCTATGTAGTGATAAGGTTTATTTCGAAGCAAAGATTTCGTTTTCTCTATAATACTGAACTTGACTGCATGATATGCCTTCCTCCTAAGATCATGGTGTTTGATTCCCCCTTATACGGTAGCGTGGTGTAAACGTCCTTTTTCGGGAAAGAATACTGAACTAATCAGTTCACACCGTTGAGACATTGTTATGATAATTGATGAACTTCTAAAGTTATGCTGTCTACCTCGGTATCATAGAGAAAATGAAACCTATACTTCAAAATAAACCTTATCACTACACAGATGATTGCATCACATCCCTCTGTGTATATACCAATTTACATGTGTGTGGGGTGGCAAATGCATTAGGAGGAGTAACCGAACTATGAGGTCAGAGATGGTGGAGCATATACCTTAATGGCTAGAAAACCAATCATATCCAAATAATCTGATAAATACGGCAGGGGGGGGAGCAGACAGACACTACACATTATCGAAATATATCACAGGATTGACCTTAGAACAACCTTTAGACCATTGTATAGGAGCCGTCAAGGTCGTATACGTAGGTCCATTGAAACCTTGGCTATACGAAAGTCCAAACCCCTTTGTTCTCACCTTAAGTCTGTCTTGGTAATCTTTATCTCATTTTACTGCCAAGGTAGGTGTGAAAAGTACTATTCCTCCCTATTATCCATATATTTAAAACAAGCAACGAATGTGGAAAAATTAGGATTAATGAATTCATAAATTTCAGTAGTACTTGTCAGCTGGATACTCTACATACTTGATTATATATACCGTTAAATATTCGTTGCTTCTTTTAAATTTGTATCGGGAAACAAACGTATCCATACATTTATTTACCTTATCTCACCCTATTTTTATCCTTCATATAAAGTGGCTTAACAAGTAAATATTTTATCTTATGTGGTTAGAGCCGTACACAATAAATGATGACCAATCCGTCACTACTACGTCATCCCCTCCATTTTATTCGTCATTTTTTCTTCCTTATCAGTTCTTAATCTCTTGCTGAATATAGCTTTCATCTGTTTGTTGTGTTGTGATAAGTTTCTTACTAGAGTTACTTTAACATCCTCCTGTTAAAACTCTAGACTTTCTCTAAGTCAATAACTTATACAGAAATATACCTTACTGAACTCATTCCCAGTGCTGACATTCTTCATTGAAATCCGACTGTTCTCTCTATGCTTCTTATTTTACTCAGCTGTTTATTTCCAACACAAAAATATATGTATCTAATTTCATTTCACGCTGATTTCCATAGTTATTTTAAGGTGTCTATAGCTAAGAGGAGATCACGAAATAAATCTTATGCTTGCTTCGATTAAAAGCGAACAAGGGAGCACGATGTAGGAGTGTTTCAGACTAGCATCTCTTGCCCGAATTTTCTATCATTACCCGAAAACAAATTTCTTAATAATAAATATAAAATTCGGCTACTTCAACTTGAAATGCTGGATGATCTACATTACATTGAATTATTTCATGCACTAATCTATAAACCTTTGAACAAGTGGAAATAATCGAGCATTCGTAATTTCTTATGCATAAAGGTTTTTAACTTTTTGTAGTTAAAAACTAATTTTAGGCAAGCAGTAGGCAATATTGGATACTTTCAAGGCCGAGGAAGGAATTTTTCTGCTTCGCTTAAAGGCCATGACTGTAACCTATAAAAATGTAGCAGGGAGAATGACAATAGTTTCACCAAGAAAATGGTATGGATTAACTTTAGCATATGCTTCTTTCAAAAGATAGGAGAAATAAGATTTGGGGTGTTTCATAAAAGATGCACTGTCCTTTTTATCCATTTTAGTCAATGAACAGTGTTTAGGTATATTGATAACTTGTAAGGACTGATCAAACTGGAACTGTCAATTAGTTATTTTCAAGAGAAAAAGTATGATCAATGGTAGCATGGAGACAATAGTGAGTTGTTAAAATATATCATAAAATACAGCAAAATTATGAATAATAAGAGAGCGAGAGAGGTCGATTTATTGTTAGCAGTCTACTAACTCCAAGGTAGCAACAAAGGTTGAACACGTTTCTTTGTACACATAATTCCGGTTTCTCCATGGATGCGGCAAGAGCTTTTGTAGTACAGAGAAGGGGTAAGCGCACCATTTTAGGCAAATTTCTTTTCACCCTGTAGATGACTTTGAATACTGAATCAGCTGTGAAGCTGTGGCCCGTGTTGACAAAGTATTCAGTTATTGTACATCTGATTGATTTATTCACACCTCTTTGCATCAAGGCAGGGGTAATGTCCCCTAACCCGTTCGGAAAGAATGCTCATCGAATGACCTACAGCAGCAGCTGAATGGATAAACATACCTGGGACTGGTCAGATGCCGAAGCCTATCTTCCGGGTTATCAGGAAACATTGGACGACTGGGGGATAACCATTCTCGAGGTTGAATCGAAGAGAGTTTTCTTTAGCGAGTATGAAATTCTTCTTTCGAGATATCGGCAGCGAGGTCACCTTCGAAATCAAGACTCAAGTATAATGTCTTCTTTAGAACTGAAATGGGTATCTCTCTTTTTGGTTTAGGTCTCATGTTTTTTTATACTGGGTGATGATTGAAGGTGAAATAGAAATTTAGACTGGCCAGATTCTAACCAGCGACCACTGGGTTTCCGGCCCGGTGCTCTACTATCTGAGCTATGTGTTTTGTTTTGAGTCCATAAATCGTGCTAGATATCCGTTTCCAGCCAGAAGAATATTGGTCAACATGAGTTCTTCTAAGCTATTAGTGCTGCAGATTCTTCGAATACGATGGGCAAGGGACATGATAAATGTTCTTTTTCAACCTTTAGGTACCCAACTGTAGAAATTCATCAGCTGACTCTCCTATACTGGTTTATACACTCAATATTACTCAATATCGTCTTCATTTTATTTTCATGCTACTCTTGATCATGCTTTATCTTGAAAAATATTTTTATATATTATGCAAAAATCAGTTATTTAACAATTATTTTCTGCTGATTTGGTTTAATAGGATAAAATGAACGCATAATTAGTTGAGGCTTAGTACAGAGAGCATGAGAATTGTTTACCTGTCACCGGGGACTATCTAGATAAGGATTTTTGGTTGAAATTTCATAAAATCCGGTTGAAATCTGTTAATCAATGATAATCACTGAATAGTTATGCAGCCGAATTGATAAGTTTTCTGGCTGACACCGAGCCATTCTAGCGTAAAGAAAATGGACTGTCTTCTTGAATTTTACTACTATTGATTTCAAGTTATTGAATTTCTCATAATCTGCTGGGATTATTTCAGTTTATCAAGTTGCTTCATTTTGCAGCAACCCTGAGGGGAAGTATGTATAACTGTAAGGATATCATAACAAACGAAAATGACTTGAATGGAAAGGAAAACAAATGAAGATTTAATTATAATAGGCGTAGAAGGTGAGTACGATAACAAAGTATAATTTGTATATTAGTTTATCAATTCGATACAGCGCACAGTGATGGAGTATTATTAAGCTGTTCAGAGATTTCAGGATGCTTGTGGTAGCGAAATTGTTCACGATTTCGACTGATACCACCGATAGTCTTCAGCCTTTTAATGCCACTGTTTTATCTACTGACAAGCAAGCTGCATGATTCATCAAGTAAGGCTGATTTTACAGAGTACTTTTAATCTACATAAGAATAAAATTTATGTGACTATCCGTTGATTTCAAATCTGATTAACTTCAAAATCACTGTAGCATCTGCTGAAAGAATCATTTAGTCCTCTTTATTTTAACTGGAAAGGAAGTTTCTTCATGAAATAAAGATATCTATTTGGGATTGGTTTTTCAGTGGTAGTTGGAACGGTCTTTTAAGTAACTCACAAACTTAAGGATTCGTATTACGTGACTAATTACTTCTAGCTTACAGTTTTGTAGAATTAACCAACAATGTTTAATCCAACCAACATCGATTATTTTGGTCAGTGTGAAGCGTAGAAAGTACCTAAACGGGGGGGGGGATAAGTTGGGGAGAGAGAAAATGAATGAACCAATTGATTTAAGAGTATTCTTCTACTCATCTATTCAGAAATGCGCTTACAATTCACTTTTCAAAGTTATTCAACTGATAATAATGAAAACAGGCAATGGCGTGATGTCACGCTATTTGGTTTTATATTATTCTTAGAAAACTATACAATTCAACTGTATTCTCCAGCACCAAGCAGATATTCATCATCAGAGTTATAATTGGAATAAATCAGGAAAAAAAGTAGTTTGAAGGCCTTGTCTACTTTTCTGTCTTACAGTTTTAAATTTTTTAACTGGGAACTATTTACATGGATCGCACAATGATTCTAGTTGTGATGTTTAGGACAGACAGATAGAGTCAGCGTAGAACATCGCATAGAAGTGCGTCGGTTCAAGTTGTCACATTTTACAGTAGCATGCAAGGAACAAGTGCGTAAAAAGGAGTGGTATCAAAGTGGACCAGTGTGTATAGGAGGCGGTGAAATTTAAAAATGAAGGTTAGTGACAATGGTGAAACTGGAAGACGTCAAGAAGTGAATGCATGTGTGCAATTTTCAGCCATGTCATCAAGGTTCTATAATCATTGATTCCTATGGTCTTACTGACCCCAAGCGATATTTAGACGTATAGGTTATTTATACATGATATGTGCTATGTACATATATGTGAAATATGAATATAAGGATAAAACTTAGGCACTGTGTTAGAGTATAATTTCATATTAGACTGTTTATTTGGTATAGCACACAGTGACACAGCATTATTTACTGAATATATGTTCATTGACTTTTCCAAAGTAATCCGCCTTATTCATAACTACTGTCTAGTTGCTTTTGTCATATTCGGCAATTCCTACACTATTGTCATCTCTAAATTTTTCAGCGCCAACATTTCCGGCCTCATTAAGTTCTTCCTTTCTTTCTTTTGGTGTTTTGTGTCAGTGTATATTGTGAACGGACCTGATCAGCAGTTGTCTTATCTATTAAGCTTAATGGTACTTCCTTGCTGAGTATAACCTCTTCAGGCTTGTGTTGAGCTACTGCAAAGTTGAAGTTTAGCCTTTTCTCGAGAATTTTTACTTCAGTCGAGCTTAACTCTCTTGTTGAGAGACTGACTACCCACTTTATTCGTTTGATGGTTGGCGGTGTCTCATTTCTAGCTTCATTCTTCTTTGTTGATGTATTTATGCACTATCACTTTGACTAATATACTTGTTCTGTTTGTCATGAGAGTTGGTGTAGTTCCTGCAAAACTAAATTTTTATTTCTGAATGAATCTTTCTCACTTGAATCTATAACAGATTGATTTATTAAGAGTCAAATATGAACGAAGAGTATTCTTTTCAATAACTTTCCGTTACACTCTAAAGTTATAAAATCAAACTCGTTACCACAGTATACTGGCCAAATTTATTCAGCCTTAGGGGGTTATACAGACAATTACCTACAAAAGAGAATCCTGCAGAACTGTTTATTGCTCCAAGTAAACACACTTCATATCAACAATTCTTAGGGAAAGTTAACAAAATAATTTTTTCCCTACTAACTTAAATTATTTTCTCTTTTATTCCCTTCTCCGAATATTTCATTGGACGTAATTGGCTGACGGTACAACCCATCATAGATAACCTATGTACAACTTTATGAGTTGTAGACAGAGCTAAATACCAGTGAATTCTTTATTGTATAAGTTAAATGAAAGGCAGTTACTTATTCTCAGGATTATAGATTTCTCTAACAGAATAGATGGTGTCTACTAACAAGTGGTGTCTACTAAGCTTGAAACTGAGACGCACAAAATCCTACCCATTAGTCTTCAAAATTCTTTATTCCCCAATAAAGAACAACGATACCTCAGTCAAATATTCTCTAAAATACATTTGTATTGGTAGCAAAAATAATTCTTAAAACCTAGTCAATATAATGATACTGAATTTAGCAACATAATTACCAAATATAGAATATTTAGAAAAAAAATATTCACTCAACACTATCCCATCTTGTTACATTACATTTCATTCTCGCTACATAATTGGATTAAAATTAATATTACTTTTTTTATATTGCCACTGGATTATTTTTCGATAACACAGGTAGGAGTTGTACACCTTTCTCATTTTAATCGGTAAAACCAATAAACATATTTAAGATTAATGGAGAAATAAATTTTGTTTTAATAAATTCAAGTTTAAATTTCTTTTTCTTGACCAAAGTTATTGAATCTTTGCAAGTTTATCTGGTACTTATCAAGCTATTGAATATTTTAGTATCTAAATTTGATAAACAGCTTTTTATGAAAAGAAAATAATGACTATTTGTATTATAAACTGTTTTTGTTCTTGTGTTTAAATACCTTTTTTCTGCTTGTGCAATCTGCCCAATTCAAATTAAGATGTTATAACGCTGTTGTATTGTTCTCACCTTAATACTGATTCATTTATTCTAGTAGTCATTGGTACTGATCCAAATTTCAAAGAACGGTAGAATTTTCGAAAATTTTGTGGCTTTCCCTGACAAACTTGCTGTAATCGAGTAGATTAAAAAAAATTTCGTTAGAAAAATGTTCTCAGTTATCACTTACAGAAAAAATTGAACCCCACCAATGTAACAATAAGGGTGTCAATATATTGATAAAAACCCGAATACGGAAGTATAAATCATAGTTTTCACGAACATGCAAATATATTCAGGTGTTTTATAATAATGAATACCAATAATCAGAATGTAAACATGTGATGGTAATACTGTTCATCTTTTGATAAAAATTAGTTCTGTTTTTCTATCGATTTTTTTCATTGTATAATATTTCAATGTTTCAAGTATGAGAAGTAAAAAAATTATTGATATATCTAAGTGTTAACAATGAAGGGAAAGGCGTACATGATCAATACAAATCAATGGTGTGCTTGATGACTAAATGGTCTACAACGTGGATCAGCTAAGGAACAATTGAGAGTGGAAGGCAAGATACAGGACATACACAATAGGATGAAAAAAAATACTCACTATTTCTGGGTCTGCATTGGTTTTATATTTGATAATTATTTTCGATGACGCCTGCTGTGCAGTATATCGATTTCTTATTGAATAATAATGGAGGGTTTATTTGTTGCCAAGTTTGAGATGAATTTTCGTGAGTTATGGTGATTTCCATCTATTGATGTCAAATTATATTCAAGTTGTGTAGGTCAGACAGAAAAAGGTTAGATATGAAGCAATGAATACCATCTCAAGAAGAACGGCATATCTGTTTTTTCCTAGCTTTGGACTTATTAGCGGTTTACTCTAAAATAAATCAACTTTCCTATAATCCTCAACTTATTTCTTACTAAGCCATCAGTTATGCATAGAAATTAATTTATTCACGTATTTTTTGTTGAAATGTTCAATTATTTCCTGTTATCTTGTTATACTAGTTAGGATAAAGCATGTAATATATATCGACGTAGTGAATGAGATGAATTTTTTTAAATATTTGTAGAAAGAGTTTTACAAATGTGATTTAGTAGGTGATGTAAACAAAAAAGCTAATTTAGAAGCTGGTCAGTAAAAGATCCCAGTGTATGTAAATAGCTACATGTCAGCCTTCGAATTCGTTCATGACTGAGGATTTAGCTTAGCAGTTCAAGTATGCCCAGCCAATCGTTGATAACACCAAAAACTTTTAGTTCTAGGTTTATGGCGGTTTTATTTGTTTCAAGGTAGTATTTATCATGGGCTGAGATCAGTTGGAGAACCGTTGAAAACCTGAACAACTGTTCCTTTAGTAAGGGAATCCTCAGAAGTCATTCCATGGTGAATACTACGCTAAATTACTTTTACCTTAAGAAAACGTATGTTCATATTGATTTTTACTCCAGTCCAGTGAGAGTATCAATCTCAGCTATGCTATGATTACACAATTGTACACAGCAGAAGAGAGTTTATTATCATAATTATTGTTTGTTGTGTGTGTGTGTGTATATATATGTGTATTAACCTCCGTCCACTTTGCATCAAATTGAACTTTTTGAAGTTCACCGGCATCACAGTTATCTGATATGTTGTTCTACTATTCACTTTTCATTTTCCAGTCATGTAATCAAAATTTATGCAAATAATAAAACTTGAGTGACTGTAGAAAGCTGCACTAAACTTTAAGTTAATGCTACTACTACTACTAATAACAATAATACTAATAATCACTTCCTTTATCATTTTATTATGAATCGGTGTGAACAACAACAATTGATCATTGAATCACAAGTATTCATGTATGTTTTTATCCAGGTGTTCAATTTATTGTTAAAACAGTAGAGCATAGCCTGTTGGTGTTTCCTACTGAACTGTCAGCTATAGAAAGTTAGATACACCTTTCTAGCATTAAATGTGTTGACAATTTAGTGTTTATATATATTTACCACCTGGTTTTACCAATTCGATCTATATTCACGGATATCAGCAGCTGAAGAGAAGCTCCGAAGTACAGTCAGCTTTTCTTTTCTCGGAGGTGAGCTTGCTTTTTTGTTTGAGGAATGTATCCATGCATTTTCAACTAGGTTCAACTCCACTACTATTCGGCAGTCGAACGAAAAGATATATTTTTATAATGGTACGATGGTCGGTCTTACAGTTCAGATGTACTTTATCCATGAATATCAACAAAAATCAGCAGCGTAGATTTAAAAGTTCCAACAGCATCTATGCGGTTATATCCAGCCATATGGTAACGTCACGTGATTTCAGTGTGCTACAATATTGCATGATTTACTCAGCTGGGAGCATTTGCCAGCAATAACATACCACTTGGTGTAAATATGCTAAGGCATTGTGTATATGTGACTAGTACTGCATGTCAGGATATGCCTTTTGATGAATTTGGAGCTAGTAAACTGTCTATGCGGAAATCAGTGTTCATGTAAACCTGTGCGCAATTGTAAAACCAAACAGCTGGTTTATCTGATTTACCAATTTGACAGTGATTTGACATTTTAAAGAAATGGGTGGCAAGTTTGAGTTTGACTGAATCATCAGTATTCACTGCAATCTGACGCATTCAACATAATTAATGGAAAATCAAAGAATCTATTGCTTTTTGCATATTTCAGGGAATATTGAAGAGTTTAATTACAATCAGTCAGTCAATATCTCCAACCTGTGCATTTCCAGTATCATGATCTCAGTATTTTCACGATGGGAAATATAAAGCTATTTATTCAACAAAGAAAAATCACAATAAACAAATTCGCTTTCGGTGATGGGATCCTCAGAAGCCATATAATCGTATTTGGATGTAATTAGTGTGTACATTTATTGGTGAAAATGTCAGTATTTGTCAGTCAATAATTCTTAGTAGCTTGTCTTTTAAAAAATAATGTTGGAATGGAAGTTACATAGAAAGTGCGAAAGTATTTGGTAATGTGAATAAGTCAGTTATATCAAGAAATAAAAAATTTGTAACTAAATGAAGAAGGGAATGAGAAATTATTAACTGAGCTAAAAATGTTCACTTAATAACAAAATAATGAGTTAGGCCTAAGAAGTGCTAAGTTTAAAAATTAAGAAGTCTATAACTACGATGAATGGCAAAGTTGCTTCAAGATAAAAAATTCTGGTTTTAATTTTATTATTGTTAGAGTTTTAGCAGTGAATGTCTCCTGAAACTCTTTCTTACTGAAAATTATTGGCTGACACATATTGACATTTCTATCCATATATATGCCCTCTAATTAAATGTAAATAAGATTGTACACTTTCTGAGGATAATATGGTTGACAGAAAGTTTTAATTTTTTTATGACACACTGAAAACGTTTACGTTTGTTTACTCAATCTTAAGGTTTCTGGGGATTAATTGATTTCAAATTGGTATTCATTGCAGATTGACATTAGCTGGATATATATTGAAAACCTAGAAGTACCGGACAGCTGCTTCGTTGTAGTATGAGATCCTCAGTGATGAGTACCCACGAGCCTGACTGGGCTTGTATCCACCACCATCAGGTTCCGTGGTGAGCACGATGCCACTGAGCCACACTACCAGAATTCAATACTCCACATTTTCCTACTTTCATTAGTTTGCGATATAATGCTATCTTTATTCAATACCATTGTTCAGTAACTGTCTTCACATCCGACTTAGTTTATCCCACCGGTGCGCGCTGCTGAGGACTCCCATATTAGAACGAAATAGATATCCAGAGCTCCCAGGTTTCCAATGGTTCTCCAACGGATGTCACTCGATGGTACATACCAACTTCAGATTGCTAATTGCTTACATTATAGTTACATCTATCAAAGAGTTTGTATTAAATTACAAAAGGTGATGATATTGTCTTAATAGTAACGTCCAGGTGAATTGACACTAGAAACTAATAAATCTGAAAACAATAGTAACCTTGTTAATGAATGAGTGTTAATATTAATCTGACAAAGAGAGAAAGGCGAGAAAACAAAACTAAATGTCATGATGATACAATCAAGGTGAAGTCAACGACTTCTTTTGCACACCAAGACAAGGTTTTAGTGTGTGAACAGGAAATGGCTCTACTGTTTTTAAAACTTGAAAACGTAGAATATTTGAGAGAATCTAATAAATAACTTTAAAATCTTTGATAAGTTCACTTGGATGGTTGCTGTCAATTAACTGTTGAAAGATGAAACTTCTAATGTACTTTGTTTGATCCTTGAAAACTAGGCCTAGATATGCTACCGTGTACTTGTTGACAGCAATTTCTAGCTGTGGCCAATGTATCTTATTCCACAATAGCAGTGGGAATGGTACCTGACTTTTATATTTGAAAAGGCATATACATTCTTCGTCTTTACTTTGGTCGTAACAGTACTTTACTTTTTTCTGTCGACTTTCCTTCTTTAGAAGATTAGTCTTATCACCATTGTCATTTTTATTTCTATATATGTTAGTTATGTGGTTCTAAATCACTTAATCTTTCCAATAATTTAAACTTTCAGTAAAAATACATTCATTTATTGTCAATATCATTTATGACACTACCATTTTATACACCGACATTTTCAATGAAAGTGCATAGATGATAATGAATAAATAATTTTTCTATACCCTAATAATTTGATTCATCTGACAGAAGTGAATTGAACCCAAACATTCAGATTTTTGTTGTTCTTTTGTGTTATCCAGTCAATTAACAGCTTTAATCAGTTGACGAATAAGGTACATATATATCTTTATTTTTTGTTTTCCTATGCGGAACGTATACTTCTGTTGTTTCCATGTTACTTCTATCATAAGTTGATATCATTTAGAAGACTACCGAAAATCAGATAAGAAGGAGGCTGGAAACTGAGAGATGGTTATTTGAGCCTAGACCAGAACTCTTCAGGAGTATTCATTCCAGCTACATATGGAGTTGACGTTTCGATTTTGAAGCAGTACAATGAAAGGATTATTTAGGTACTGGGTTTCAAATCAATTTTCAGACACGTTTGTATGTGCTAAGAAAACTCAATCTGACCATCTGAACCCTGAGCTACAATATATTCGCCACAATGCTCGTACATATCCTGAATATATATATATATATATATATATATATATATATATATATATATATATATATACATGGTACTACTCGTCACGGACTGACACCAGTTAGAGAACGATTGAAAACCTAGGAGCACTGGAATACTTCATTATCCTGGCATGCTACAAACTAGCAGTGTGCAATCACAACTTCGGCGGAGATAGAGCTTAGGACCTTCAGGTCCTGTGGTGAACTCGTTAGCCATTCAGCTACTGGGTTGGAATTCAGTGGTCCGCAGTTTCCTACTTCTGTCGATTCCTGATAGAGTGCGGCTATCATTCAAGGTTTTCAGTTGGAATCCGCTTCACTTCCAAATGGTTGACCTCATAGGTCACTGATTCTCACTAGAACTTTGGGATATCCGTTTTGAAGCACGTCACTAATGAGCGCTATAGAGTAACGCATTTTGAGTTTAATAAAGGTCGAACTGTGGCCCGTCGAACTTCAACCAAGTGGCTGAGTGGTTAACGCGTCCATAAGGAAACCTGAAAGACCCGAGTTCCATCCTTAGCCAAATCGTGGGCGCATACTGCTAAGGAGTCCCATAGTAGGAAAAAAGATGTCTAGTACTCCCAGGTTTTCAATGGTTCTCCAACTGATACCAGTCCTTAATGAATACTGTCCCCACGAAACCCAATATATATGTACTTATTGTTTATATAGTGATTTAATATGGCTCAGGGCTCAATATCTCTCAGGACATTAGTAACAACTATCGCCTGGATGTTTATAATGTGGATGCACACACAATTACACAGAGTTATGAATGTAACAAACCTACTCTGTATGCAACCATTTCCTTAGCCCGCTGATATGACAAATCTGCATCATTTGAAAAATGATCTGCTTGAACTTGTTTAAACTGCAATAAATAATCGTTAGTATCATAACTCTGCTTGGCATAAGCAGCTGTGGCTACATTGTTGATTGACTTAACACCTGTTACCAACTTATTCATATCATTATTCAATGTAGTTGTATGAAACACATCTGTTGATCTTTTTGGACTAGTTAATTCTGTTTCATATTGGTTGAGTGATTCATTGAAACACTTTTGGTACCAATTTTCAAATTCTAGTAAAGCACAAAACAAACAAAGCAAGATAAACAGAAAATGATGGAAATGAAAAAACAGTCATAATTTCAATCACTACCAAAAAATGTATTCACGTCTATTGAGTTAGTCTGAGGTACATTAAATAAAAATAATCTGAACGAAGAACTTTCTTTTAAGTGACGTTTTATCAGGTTCTACAATTATGAAATGAAATTTTACTGCTTAAATCAAGTCAAATCTGAGGCGATTACATTTTCAGATGAAATGAGAGTTATGAACTGTAAGATAACCAGTTTTTCTTTTTAAATTTGTTGGTATTAAGATGACGCATATACAAATGAAGAGTGAGACGATAAACGAAAAGATGACAAATAAGGAAGACAAGAATGACCAGGTTCGATCAATCTTTAGCAGCCTCAGTTGTGTTGAACAGGCGTTGTCGAGCTACAGATGGTATTGTTTTTGGTAGACAGTGTATGACAAAAGCTCTGTTAGTATGTATGTGATGCTCTGTGTTTACTATGTGTGCAAAGAAAGAACTTTTTATCACTTTCTCTTCATCTTTTCCAAACCAAGTCGGTGGTGTGAATATTATTAAGTTTGTTTATCAAATTGTCTAGATGCCTTGAAACATTTTCGTTTTTAATCTATCACGTTTTAGAAATTGATTTGACTATACATAATAGTATTCTAAACTCATGAGAGTTTCTTAGTTCTGATAAAATTTGCTTTGTAAAAGCATACTGCATACGTAATCAACTTGTAATCAACTTGAATTATTGAAGACGACAATTGGTGGGAAATTCAAAAATGGGTTTCATACATTTTATTAAATTTCAAAAGAATATATCTGAAAAACTAATGAAGTGCATAATTCATATGAGATTTAAAACATCGGTCTTCAGCAGGTGTGTTCAATAAGTGAATGAACTCATTAAGACACTAATTGAATAAAACAGTCGATAATTTTATTTTACACATGAGTCTTACTGATGAGTACTCACAAGTACGAAATCCAACTTCATATCTTTATTTTGCTAAGCTTTAATTGTGTAGTGCTAAGTCTCTAGTACCATCAGCTGTCCTCCAAAATGTATTGAAATATTCCTGAAAACTTAAAGGATAAGAAGAAGTAGTGATGCGAGCAGGAACTTTAATACCATTAAAAATATATTAAATTCTCCACATAGTTATCACACAACTAAGCAATATCAAGCATCTCAGTTGAGGCTTTTAACAGGTCTCGGATAAGGATGTCACTCATACCTGTAGAATCACTTCATGACAAAATTTACCTACCCTACCTAAGGTGACACAATGATTGGGAGGTGAAGTGTATTTATTACAGCAATTAATTACATTTATTCAGGTTTTCAGAACATAAAGATCTGGATAAATTATGGACTGATGTCTAACCAAAAAAAGGGATTTAAATGCAAATCCCGGTGTTGGATATCGATACACTGAAGATAAAAGGAAACAGAGCAGCAGTTGTATATAGTAATCTAGGTAAGTGTGGCAAGAGATTGGCTAGAGAATTTCGTTTCACTGAACCAGTATGCAGAGAATTCAGTAAGAATTATTCAGCACCCATTTTGAAGGTATGGTGAACTTTGTCGGCTACATCACACCCACAAATCTGATAAGGCATTAAAATCTACAACAGTAACCAAATTCTATGCATGTAATAATGTTTGCTCAGTCAGATGGTTGGGAAACATAGATTCCGCGTTTGAGAAATGTATTTTGGCACTTAGTGTCAATCTATTATGTTCCCACAAGATTATTCCACATCATTCATTTAAAATGAATTTCAGATGATTTACTTGGTTTTGGCTAGCAGACGAATCCAGGACGTGCGTTTCATCCTATTTGTGACTCGTCAGCTGAGTGTATCTGCGCCCTAGTGAGTGATGTTGTTCCCACTAAGACTCGAGGCCCGTACCCATCGCTTCAAACGTCAAGGCGTTTTCCACCAGACTGGTACATCCAGCTAATGAGTCCCAAATAGGACTAAAAGCGAGTCCTGGATTCCTCTGCTAGCCACAACCGAGTAAATTACCATAATTAGTATCCAGGTTATGTCGAGGCATCCACATAGGAGCCCATATGTCCTTAGAGGTCGAACAGTTTGATCCAGTAAAATAACGGAGAATTACAAGCATATCGATAAGTGGTAATTAATTTTAGAGTTAAAATCTATTGTTAAGTAGGTTCAACATTTGTTTACAGCATTTATTTACGGTGTTAACGAATATAGATAAACCAGTGCTTTGAAGTGCGACAATATCCCGTAGATTCCTCAAAGAAGCCTTGAAATCCCTGAAAAGCCTTCACAACTGATCATGGCGCACCGAAAGTTCGCGAAAAACCACATGGTAATACGTGTAAGTCTCAGGTTGGCTAAAGGATATTCTAGAAAAGTGCAAAACATAACAATACCGTCAGAAATGTACATAAATTGTCACATTTTGTACATGCTTGACAATAAATCTTTATCATTTTTGCCGATTTTTTTCTGTTTTTGAGGAACTGGGTGACCCTCAAGAGTGAGGTCCATAGTTATTCTTCAGGAGTCCATCTACATATAGCTATAAATATCTTTCACAAAACTATGTCAATCAGATTATCACGTTTACTAACAGTTGACTGAAGAGATAACTTAGACTTATTTTTGTTGATGCAGTTAACAATACAGGAATTTCGTGCGGAATAACCTTTGGTAAAAGACTATTCATTAGATGTTCATGGGAAAATTGTCAGAGAGGTCAGTTCTATCATCATTCGGTAATAGGAAGCGTATACGGCAAAGAATCATTGCGCTCCAGCTAATTTCGTTGATCTGGATGGGGACGTAGGAGGGTTTAAATCTGCAGATAGTGAGATTTATTAACAACTTCTTGACTGAAAAAGTCCTGAACTCTCTGCAAAAGCCTGTGTAGTCATTTAAGAGGTATACGTTTGCAACGAATAGTATTTGTCAGGAATATTTTATTCTCTCCATTTTTTCATTCAAAGTTATAATAGACAGTCTTATATAATTCTACTCTCACGACTTTTCAGTTGGTCTTGTATTGCGTGACTATTCAAAAGTCAGAAATAGAAGCAAATACCAATCTACTATTAAACAACAGAGTGGAGTTTTCTTCATCAAAATGAAATAAAAATGGCCTTCTTAATTAAGAAGATTATTAAGTAGACAAATAAGGTGGTGAACGTAACCGAAAATGAGAAAAGTTCAATAGGGTAAGGATTGTATCTAAATGTGCAATGAACTACCCAATTTTCCACATGACGGGTGAAAAGTACGTGAAGGTAAAGGTAAGAACACCAATGATGCTCTGATGCACAACTAACTAACATCAGCTAACTGAAAAAAAGAGAGGATAGTTGGCGAGATTATGGGAAAAGATACAATCAAATACTTTTCATGCACACAGATTGCCAGCTCAGTGCCCTGAGTAAACTGCAAATCCGTTTGATAATGATGATAAATTTGCTTTATTCCAAACCCTGACTTTGTTTGCAGTACAAAATTCTCAACATATGATATTGCACCAGTTTACCCACTGTACAACACTTTTCAACTATTTATTATCAATGATACTGTTTAACAATATATAATTCAGAATAACAGGGTTATTTAGGTGCTTAATGACTTCATGGACATGATAACTGTTCGCCATTGCAAAGCTGATTGATAAGGTTATGTCTACCATGATTTTCTTCACACAATATACAAATTAAATAAGGTATGGTTGAATTATTCTATGTAGTTATGCGTGAATAGAGCTTAACAAATTTTGCTTCTTATCTTCCCAGAGGACAGACATGAAAAGGGATGCAGATGCAGAAGACAAAATACTATCAGTCTACGTCTTTAGAAATCATAAGAAGTGAACACTAATGGAGTGAAATGACCTACACTAGCCAGATGCTCAAGCATTAGGCCTTTCTCTGACTTGCATTCACATCTTTCAAAATCATGTTCACGGATGCGTTTTTAAAGTACACTCTTTACGTCACCTATGTAATATAGCGTCGCAACACCACACATGACTGAACATCAGCTATAATGCATGAAGTGTAATGTGACCTCTCCCAATCCTGCTGACTTTGGATATGTAGTTGCGAAAGATTGTGAGTGCGCACTGTTGATAAGTAAAAAAAACTAAAAGGAGACATCTGACCACTACTTCTCGGTTTTCAATGATTCTCAGTCTGATACCAACAAAGAGGGAGTTCATTTCAAATCAGTCTATTCCCCATAGGTATATCAACTAAATAACATGTATGTACATACCAGAATAACTGGAAACTATTTGGCTTACAAAGTAGTAAAGCGTGTAAGGAGCGAAAACGTGTCGAAAAATACGTACATTGATAAGTGAGTGCATTTAAATATACAGAAATCTGTTGCACAATTATATGCAATATGAGAGACTTCAAAAGTGTATAAATCGCTTTCGTATCCACTCCTAAACTTTTTACCATTTCATCCAAAATGTTAAGAAGACAACTGCTTAAGTGGAACGAAAAATAAAACTAGTAGATAATAGGTTAGATGGGGGCACAGGTAACGCTGATTACCAGTGAAGTAAATGAGGAGTCACTGGGGCGTATGTTGAACAAAAGCTCACTGCACACACTTCTTGTAACGGTCAGTAGACATGATAGTTCATTCAATGGTTATTGAAGAGTAAATAATATCATACTGCATAGTTCTAAGTGCTTACAAAATTCATTGGTTCACTTCCGCTCCGCACCTATTAAGCAAAGACACTCATGAAATAAGGTGGAATTCGATTTATAAATACATTGGTCAGCAGTGGGTAGCCGCTATAGCTCTGTGGCCAATTCTTAGAGCTTAGGACTGATCGAAATCTATCTATCGAGGTTTGTAATATGGCTAGTAAGTGAAGTGATACGACATTATGTTTTGGTGTTAGATACTGGAAATAAATTCACAGGAAGCTCTAGACCTAAGCATCTTG